TATAGGCAAAATTATCAATAATCCTATTAATAAAGAGAAACTAAAATAAGGAAACTAAATTCTAAAAGAAAATAAATTAATCATAATCTAAACAAGATTTAAGAATAAACATATTACAACTAGAAAATGAAATTAGAAAAGATAATTTAAAAAAGACAAACTCCTAGATAAAGTGAAACTATTAATTGTAGTTGTGATGTACTATATCAATCTCTCCCACTTGAAAAAAAACTTGTCCTCGAGTTTTGCTGAAGTAAAGAATTCTTGATAACTTGTGGATATTCGAACTTGGCTGGGACACGAGGAAGCTCTCTTGGCACATGTTGCCGTGTTCTATGCTTGTTGAAACAACCAACATTCATAGCAGTTAAAATCTGCAAATTCTTGTCAGCTTGGTTCTCCATGGGCTCGCGATTCCTTTCAAAATTCAACGCAGTCAAAATCTACGTGATATTATGAAGGGTTTCATCGATCCCCTCCGATTCGTTGTTCGAGTTTGTCGAGCCTTCGTTCGTCGTCGACGGTTCGACTACCACCAGTACCTTCGTTGGCCATCAACCAAAGGCAATTTTCTTACTCTGATACCAATTTTGGTATAGAAGCGTTTATGAAATTCTTGTAATAATAATTGAAAGTAAGAATTCTATTGGAATAATTTTGCTTGTATTGATATATGATTGATTAATTGATTAAAAAGTGTAGAATACCCCTATATTTATAGGCAAAATTATCAATAATCCTATTAATAAAGAGAAACTAAAATAAGGAAACTAAATTCTAAAAGAAAATAAATTAATCATAATCTAAACAAGATTTAAGAATAAACATATTACAACTAGAAAATGAAATTAGAAAAGATAATTTAAAAAAGACAAACTCCTAGATAAAGTGAAACTATTAATTGTAGTTGTGATGTACTATATCAATCTCTCCCACTTGAAAAAAAACTTGTCCTCGAGTTTTGCTGAAGTAAAGAATTCTTGATAACTTGTGGATATTCGAACTTGGCTGGGACACGAGGAAGCTCTCTTGGCACATGTTGCCGTGTTCTATGCTTGTTGAAACAACCAACATTCATAGCAGTTAAAATCTGCAAATTCTTGTCAGCTTGGTTCTCCATGGGCTCGCGATTCCTTTCAAAATTCAACGCAGTCAAAATCTACGTGATATTATGAAGGGTTTCATCGATCCCCTCCGATTCGTTGTTCGAGTTTGTCGAGCCTTCGTTCGTCGTCGACGGTTCGACTACCACCAGTACCTTCGTTGGCCATCAACCAAAGGCAATTTTCTTACTCTGATACCAATTTTGGTATAGAAGCGTTTATGAAATTCTTGTAATAATAATTGAAAGTAAGAATTCTATTGGAATAATTTTGCTTGTATTGATATATGATTGATTAATTGATTAAAAAGTGTAGAATACCCCTATATTTATAGGCAAAATTATCAATAATCCTATTAATAAAGAGAAACTAAAATAAGGAAACTAAATTCTAAAAGAAAATAAATTAATCATAATCTAAACAAGATTTAAGAATAAACATATTACAACTAGAAAATGAAATTAGAAAAGATAATTTAAAAAAGACAAACTCCTAGATAAAGTGAAACTATTAATTGTAGTTGTGATGTACTATATCAATCTCTCCCACTTGAAAAAAAACTTGTCCTCGAGTTTTGCTGAAGTAAAGAATTCTTGATAACTTGTGGATATTCGAACTTGGCTGGGACACGAGGAAGCTCTCTTGGCACATGTTGCCGTGTTCTATGCTTNAATAGCTTAACGTGGCCGTTGTATCTTGGGAGATGATTGTCAAGAAACCGTTAGCACCGATGCGGGGCAAATTCATCTTAAGGACAAAGTGTCAAACACTTGCCTCGACTGATCGTATCACTTGCATCTCATCTTTCTTTTTCCAATTTCATTCTAATTTAGTACTTTGATTTCGGAAAGTAGCTAATATTCTTTTGATGTCATGCTAAGATTTGAATTGAAGAACAATGTGCGTTCACTTATATTAGGAAGTGACAAATCCATATTAAGATATTCGAAAAAGGTAAATCACTATTTGCCTTCTCAAATCAAATTTCGGTAAGTCGAATGATATTTTGATTTCATGCATACTAACGACATGTTCTTGATAAATATAATATGCACATTTTCGGTGTAAAATCTCCTACACTTGTAGCATCCTGCCATTCCACTCAAAATATCCTATTTTGGTTGGAGAATTTGGTACAATTGGATTCAGGTGGATGAAGTCCTACAGAAAGTGGAACATTCAAATGGCAATGAAACGTCAATGTTGCAGATCAGAAGAAATCATTTCACATGTGCTGGTTCAAGGAGAAATGGTAAAACAGGTTGGTTTGCTTATATTTCAGCAACCTACTGCAACTCTAATTTCCTCCATATGCTAAGCCTAAGATGGCTTTCCAATTTTGGAGATATGCTGATCTTGCCCCCAAAGCTCGTCAATTACATATAATCATACCTCTCTTCCTCTCCTGGTTCCCATGGAATGAATGAAATAATAGCAAGCACAATGGAGTTAAAATGAAAGCAGAAATAGCGTTTTGGAGAGTAGAACATCTAATACATTTACTCAAGAAAGCTCAACTGCCAAAACCTGCCAGTAAGAAAAAAATTCTCTTCAACAGCTCATACTTGGTGAAATTGATCAAACCTAAACAGGTACTGATTAAATTGAAGTCCGACAAATGTTTCAAGGGAAAAACCAACACAGCAGCAGGAGGAGGCTAGCAAGGGATCGTGAGGTTTTGTCATGTTTGCATTTTATGATTTATGGTGAATGCAATTGCATTGAGGCAGAATTAAGAGCTTTAGTTACCAGATTATGATTGTGTGTGCAACAGGGCTTTTCTGAAATTTGGGTAGAAGTAGATTCTTTAATATCTATAAATTTCATTAACAAGCAAGCAAAAGGCCCATGGAATATCCAGAACCTCCTAGAGGAAATCAACCAGCTGAGGAGAAAATGCAACAACTTTCACACACATTTGGAGAGGGGAATGCAGCAGCAGATTGGTTAGTCAATATTTGATATAAAGAAAAGAAACAGAGGCTACTGAGACAGGAGCAGCTGAAAGGAACCATTACAGGAATCTTAAAGCTAGACAGGCTAGAATTCCCTTACATTAGGAAAAGATGTGATTTGTATTGAACGTACTTGATTCATAATTAAAAGATTAATTTCATCATTGAAAAATGAGAATGTATAGAATATCTAGGAGCCTAGGACAAGCCACCATACATGTCTCCTCCGTGTAATCTTGGAGGTAAGGCAAGATGTTCCCCTCCACTTTTATAATAATTTTTCTATCAATATACTAGGGTAAAGGAGAATGTGAAACCCCCCACCTCATCTAAATTTTAATGGATAAAATTAAAAATAAAAACACAAGAAAAGCTACACTGCACCTTTTTGTTTATTTCTTTCCATATATTTGCAAGGCAAGAAATTTGGTTATATCATGAAAGCAGCTAAATGGTGACAATTAGATAAAATAAGGTTGGCAAACTGATCAGGGCAGAATAAGTTCGAATCTAACAAATTATACTCTCAATTTCAATAATCCACCATAATAACATATATTATGCCCCTGTTTGGCTAAGTCAAAGTCAAAAATTAATTTTAACCACAAATTTCATCAACTCACAACTTTGCAACCACACATTTCATCAACTTTTATCAAAATCTACTAAAAATCTGATTTTAATCCTTACCAAATAAATGCTATACAAAATTAAGAAGCACAGTCCATAGAATTTGAAAGCATCTTGCAAGATTTCAACTTGCATTTGAGTTGAACTCAAAATGACATTCGACTGAATGCAGACAGAAAAGAAGAGATGCAAATTACTCATTCCTAAATTTTATTTTATTTAATTTCCCCCACTGACTTGGCAGAGATTGTATCTATTGGTCTACATAATTAGATTTGCAGAGGCTTTCACCACACGTAAAGTTGCAATTTGTAAGAAAATAACATTACCTGTTGAAGAGCGTAACAAGAATTGTCTAGACATAAATCACCCAATACGACTGTAGCTTCTCAGAAAATCAACAGTTTAATGCAGAGAATATATAATTAACACGATTAACATTTAATATAAAACAACAGAGAATCAATGTAAAGGAATAAAATCAAAGAATAGAAAAGTTTCCCTTACGAGAGTCATGTTGAAGATGCTATCCTTAAACTCCCCTCGTGCAGGTATTAGCAGCTTAAAAACAGGTTTAAATTAAAACCCACTTTAAGCTTTCAACAGCATCTTGTACTATATGCACGAACACAGGGAGAAGTCGAACATACCTCTTCTTGTTGCCCAAAAGCAAAGGATGTGATAAAGCTAGACAATTATATATTATACAGCATGCATATTTTTCTACTTGAGCTTATATAAATTATAAAATGCCAAGAATATTAGAATTCAAGGGTCATCCTTTTTCAATGCCTCTACCTCTCTTTAAAAAAGTAATCGTTGTAACTTTCACGATAATAAAATTATGACAGTATATAATTATAAGAATAATTTTTTAGAGTTACAGATGGTTAATAATATGATAATATATTATTAATATCGTCGTTATATTATATTTATAAATAGAGAAATGATCTATGGTGCTTGGATAACAAATTTAAATCAATATTGAGACCCATCATAAACTTATGCACCAACAAATTGATGTGCCATATCATTGATTTGCTATATAAGTTACAAATATGTATATTTAATATTATATCAAAAAATAAGAAAATTAAAAATGAATACTTAAAGCATTTAAAGATTATATGTTCCAACATATGTTGCATGTAACATGAGGAGGAATGGTACTGGCTGAAAAAAATGAGCATGCTTTGAAACAATCATTCTTAAGCATATCCTCCTGTTCTCTACTTTTATGTGGCTTCGACCAAGACTCTAAAGCAACAAAATTTAAAAAACATGGCCAAACATTGAGATAATACAAAAACTAACTCATCGAGGTCTTGGATGGGACTTCCAATACGATTTTGGAGTACATGCCCTTCAAATGTACAGCCAAATTTGCCCTGCCAGATATTTTAAGACGCTTCACAATGTTTATATAACTTATGAAGTTTGGCGTGAGACCCTTCTCCATCATTTCAACTAGAACATTCTGAGCACTCATAATATCACCTTTTTCTCGATGAAGGTTAGCCAGGAAGCTGTAAATCATATTGCCTGCTGTCTTATACTGTACACTTGAATCAACGACATACTTGTGTGCTTCCTTGTACTTTTCCGTGACGAACAAAGCCTTGACCAATGAAGTATGAGTTTTAAGCAGAGGTTCAAGACCCTCAGAAATCATTTGATCAAGAAACTTATATGCAAGATCTACCTTGCCAGAGTTGCACAAAAAATGAATAAGAATCTCGAAAGTTGAAGCATCTGGTCGGGTACCTGATTTATTCATTTCTTCCAGCAGTTTGTAAGCATCATCCATCCTATCATTTTTACATATTTTTCCAAGAAGGTAGTTATATGTTTTGGCATTAGGAACAAAACCCAACTCTCTCATCTCTGTGATTATACCACCAGCATCTTCTATACGATCTCTCCTGCAATTTTCTCGAATCAAAATATTGTAGTATGAAACTCTCTTCTCTGTGATTTCCATCACATACTTGGCCATTTCGAACAAGTCTGACTTACAGAACATCTCAATCAAAGAACAAATCCCAGAATTGCGACATGAGCCCCCAACTTCATTTAACAAATTTACCATTCTTCCTGTGGATTCCATTAACGTGTCATTGGTGGAAGACAAAATGGGTAAAAAGCAAAAGGCTTTGTGCATCAGGCAAATCTTTTCAGACCTGAACTCCTTCAACAAGGAATTCATGGTTTCGTAATCATCTAAACATCCACAATTATCAATAATCAGACTACAAACATCTGCATTCATATGCAGTTTGGGTTTATTTCTCCGAACCCATTCAAAAAACCTCAATCCCGATATTCTTTGCGAATTCAAAACCAGAAAAATCTTGCTAATTGATCTGACATTAAATTTTGAGGTTGCCATACTCAATCTTGATTCCAAATCCTCCCTATTGTCAATGATAGCAACAATTTCCGAAACAAAATTTGGCAGCGCATTCATTTCATTGCCATCGACTATTTTCTTTTCTAGCTTATGTTCATCAGTACAATCAACACCGACACTCTGAACTATATCTTCCTCAGCAGAAACAAAATTAAGAGTTGCACGGGAGGATGTTACAGAAAAAGGCCGACAATGGCTTCCACGACGATCACGACTAGAAACTGAGCATGTATTGTTACAATTATGATTATATGAACTCCAAGGACTCAAAGGCTCCGAAAATGGTGGTACTAAAAAACAAATTTTTGGAGGAGACACGTAAGAGAAATTGCATAAAAAGCGTTTTTTATGGAGCGAATGCGATTCAAAATTGAAAATTGAAGATAACCCACGTGAGGAATCGGACAAAAATTGATTCTGGTGAAACAAACATGGATTAGGAGGCCCGTATAAGAAACTGCGTAAAACTTGATTTTTCTGAAGTGGGTCTGAATCAATACAGCAAATTGAAGGTGACCCAGATGAGAAATTGTACAAAAAAGAAGGCTTGTGAAACGGCTTTGGGGTTTTGGTACAGAAAAGGGTGGGGTTGAAAACGTACCTCATAAGACTTTTGTTTCTGTAGGAATTGTTCGAGACTCTCATGTCTGCTCAGTTCTCAACTCATATCTGTATTTGCAGGTCCAATTCTTCTCCTTCTGCGAAGACTGTTGGCAGAGATTTGAGCGGAGACACTGGAATGTGGTGGCTGCCGGCTGGTGGCGGAACTTCAGTTTAGGATTTTAGGTCCTGACGTGTCTGTTCGGGTTAGATCATTTTGTAGAGATTAGGACGTGTTTGGGAACAATTTTGAGCACACGTGTAAAATTATCTTAGAACTTACTACGTGTACATCAAAATTTATATAATAGATTACATAATATCATATGACACTCTATAGTTTACCAGTTTAAAATGCAATCAATTTTTCATCCAATATTTTCCCTCTACATCATATTATATAATCCATTATACTATCTTTACGTACAAATATCAGAATTTAATTATTTTATGGAATAATGTTTAATTAAAAATGAGTTAAAAAAAATATATATATATATATATATATATACACACACATACACACGCTCAACAAGGGCCTAAGTTGGTTACTTGGTTATGATATTTTGACATTGATATAAGGTTTTCGTTTGATTATAAATGTGAAATTTGAGTGGAAAGAAAATAAATTAAAGAGAATTGAATTGTCTAGAATTTATTTTACTGGAAATCATAATTAATTGTATTTGATTGGTATAATTTGTCACATGAAAAATGTTGAAAGTTTGGTATCCATTTGGCTTTGTTTTGCATGAAAATTGTCAATAAAAGCGATAAAAAAAATTTAATTATCGTGTTCAGAATTTTTTCCAATTACCCAAAATAAAGGTGGAAAACCAAAATCACCAAACCAACAAGAAAACAATTTCATTGAAATGTGGGAAAATGAGGCGCGTAAGTGAAAATTTGGAAAATGAATTCCATAGAAAATGTCGGCTACCAAACAGACCAAAACTTGGAAAATGGAACCATGAAAAATTTCAGGTTTCAAACAGGGCTAAGAGCAATTTCATGGAAAAAAATTATTTTTTTACTTTAATAAAGTTTTAAAAAATTTAAAAAAAACTTAGGCTAAGTTTAAAATTTTAAATTATTTTGCTATTTTTCAGTAAAATATTACTTATTTTGTAAGTAATCTCTCTTGTTCATAGCCTGTTAGTTTGTCATTTGTAAAACCATGGAATTAAGTCTCTCCCTTTCTTTTTTCTTTCTTATGGCTGAGTCCTTATTTAGGATTCAACGTCTTTTGCAAAAACAAAATCCTTATCTCATAGACAAGTAATTTAGGGGAAAAATCATAAATTAGGTGTATAATTTACACAAATTCACAAATCAAATTTATAGTTTGAAAATTTAAAATTCAAGTATATATATTATTAATTAAATATATTTATTAATTAAATATAATAAAGTCA